ACACGAATTATTATTCTTTTTTCTGAAGCATAAGAAACCATGTCATGAAGAAACAGCTGAGTAGAAAAACAAATGAATTAGCTTTCTTTCGGTGGGTTTGAATGATTTGAGCTGGACCTTGATACTTCTGAGGACGCTATTTTTCCGCGGTGCGTTGTTTTTCTACCTACCTGTTTCTTCATGGATACGGTTTCTTATGCTTCAGAAAAAATAATAATTATTCTTCTCTAAAACTTACTACTCCCTTCCGATGAGCGCCCCTCGGGAATGTTTGGTAAAACGAATTTTAATGTCGCAAAGAAGGGCTCCACGTGCTCCAGATTTCGAGTGCAGATTTTTTTTTTTTTCATTTATTTATTTATTTATTTATTTATTTATTTATTTATTTATTTATTTTTTTTACCGAAAGTGCAATGTTAAAGAATTTTTTTGGCGGAGAGCTTGGTTTGATATGGCAATTCCATTGGGCGTGGGAAATTTTTGAAAAGAGCATGAAAAACATGTTTCAACCTCTGCCAATCACTGAAACATTGTCTGATTTACATTCGGTTTGGACAGGGTGGCTTGTTTTTTTTTTGCGTATAATTGATCTCTGAAATAAAAAGTAGGGGTACCCTTTGAAGAGTTCGACTTACGGGTGGGGCACCCCCCGTCCCGCACCCCTCCCGCGGTTTGGGAAAATGTCAAATACGCCAAAAGGTGTCCCCCACGATATAAACGAACACGTCTTTTACCGTTTTTCGAAATTCCGACGCGTTCCGCAGATAATCAAGGTGGCTCCTTTTTTGTGAGACACTCTGTATAACGAGGCAAGTCATTACTCCCAAGTACGAGTTTGGCTCATACTACCTATTCATTCAGAGTCAAAACAAACTGCCCGAAAAATCGCTGAGATTGTATCTATATAAGTTGGTTTTCAAGATCGGTCAGTGTGAAACGCATAGTGCAACGTTGCCAGAGTGCAATTTCTCTTCTTTGGATTTGGCGAATGATTTTACAGGGGAACGCAAGTGAGTGCCGCCCTTTTTTACGGCGGGACTTCCGGACCGGCGGGGGTGTGTGGGGGCTTCCCGGCAATGAAGTCTTCAATTTTCTTCCGGCATAATTGCTCCTCTTCCTTAGAAGCCTTTATCAGTTTCTATATTGAGGGGTGTCTCCTATGCTTTTACCTACACTCCGGCACACATTTGTCAGCCGTTATCTTCGGCACGGGATTTCCAACGTTGCGGAATTTTGTCGCGCGTGATTTCGTCGCGCGGGATTTTGACAACGAGATTTCGTCGCGCGGGATTTTTGTCGCGGGATTATGTCGGCACACCATTTGAACAAGAAGCTGGCCGCGGTCCATTGTTGCCAGTTTTGACCCATTTGTAGGGTTTTTTTTTCAATTTCACTTGAGTAAAACTTTTCTAAACTGGAAACTGTATACGTTTTTGAAAGGAGCATAAGAATGAATGTAAATACGCGTGTATCATTTTCCGACGTTGCCAAACTTTCGAGAAAATCGTCCGAAAGTGCGGAAAGTCGAATTTATTATCACGTCAAAGGTTTTAGGAAGTACATAATGGCTTTCATGTGGAAAATATGAATTTTATGTTTTGTTATTACTATAAGTAACTAACACGGATAATTATAATACGTCTCACTGACGTGGTGGTTAATCAAATTTTGGCTCTTTATTACGATTTCTCTCAAAAATTTGGCAGCGTAAGAAAGTCACGATGCACAAAATATATGTAATTCTTTCCGCTGCATTCAAAAATGCACTCGAGTCTCATGTTAAATTAAGTTTAACACGTGTATAATTGAAAAAACTCGTAAAAATTGGCCAATAATGGCAACAGTGGACCCTAAGGTCCCTTTAAATTAAGCGGAGGCCATTTTTATGGCCAAAAATTAAACGCATGGGGGAAAAAACATACTGTGCACTCCATAAGAGTGTGATTAAAGGTCGCATAACATTCAGAAGAGCTACCTCTAATATAAAAAGGCCGTGAAACGTGACATCTCGGGTCAATTTTCACATCACAGGAATCCAGGTACAACCATGCTGTTTTGATCTGTTGTCTGGATGTGTAAGAGCTGTTACTTACGTCAATATGAAAGTTGTGCCTCACTTTCTCGAATCTTGAGCGTGGCGATCTATCAAATTTTTGCCATTTTTGGCTCTTTGCAACGATTTTCTCGAAAATTTGGTACCTATCGTAGGAAAATGATACACACGTACTTACATTCATTGCTCACTTTCCTTCCGAAAACGTGCATTGTTTCCAGTTTAAATTAAGTTTCATTTGAGTGAAATTGAAAAAACCCTAAAAGTGGGTCAGAAATGGCAACAATGGACCGCGAGGCCCCTACAAATTCATCGAAGGCCAGGCCAGAAACGGAAGGTACGCGAAACAGTACACGAGAATGACCTGTACGAGCTCGCAAAGCTTGTCGGTGGCAAGGGAGGGGGTGTGCAGACAACTATGAGCGTCTGGATTCCAGTCGGCGTGCGCAAAACTTAAACTTTGATAGCTCTTTTCTTGCGTACCAATCGTTTCCTTGGGAGGTATAATATATTAAAATGTACGGAAAAGTACGACAAATAAAATGGACAGCTTCTTGTTCAAATCGAGAATCTGGCATCTGACGATGTAATACTAGGGTTGATAAAAAATTGGCCCTTCAGAAAGTGTGAAAAATGGCATCTTTGTAATCTTAAATCACGCCAACGATCAATTGAATGCATACTTTAAAAAAACGCAATTTTTGAAGAATTTTAGGGCAACCCACACCTCAATATCATTTGTCTTTCGAAATATACGGAACCCAACGGTTTTCAACTTGGCAACGCTGCTACGCGGGAAAATATTCATTTTAGGCCTTGCAATTTTGGGAAAAGGCGTATCATATGATGATGAATAACATGTTGAAAGTTTTTCAAAATCCATGTTGGGGGAGGGAGATTTTGTCGATTTTGCATACACCCCTTTGAGGCAATACTTAGATTTTTAGGGATGGGGCTCGAAACTGGGGGAAGGTCACATCTTATCCACACGATAACTATAGTTAAAATGAATATTTTGAGCTGAAATTTTTATGGGTGGTAGTTCTCCCCTAGGACTGGTTTGGTATTGAATCTGTGCAAAATCGGCTGAGGCGTTTGAAAATGGCGATTTTCGAAAGTTTTAGACGGGAGTGCGTGGCATGAGGGTAGCCGGCCGGAGCGGGGCTGCACGGTGGGTCTAGGGGAGGAAGATTTCGGATAAATTGTTTGTCGTTCAGTGGGTGAGGGAAAGAAAGATTTTGGACGATTTTTTCGTCGCACAGTGGGTGAGGGGAAAGAGGTTTTAGGACAAGCTTTCCATCGCACAGTGGGTCAGGGGAAGGAAAAATCTGAAAAAATCATTCATATCCAATGGCTTACGGACGCGCGATTCTATGACTGCTAGTGCACTACTCCTACTTCGGAAAATACTCTTTCTCCCCGCGGTGGATGCGCGGGACACTTAAAAAGAAGAAACAAGTACATGCGCACTAAACCCCGAAAAAACGCGCGCGTCTAGGCGGGCCTGCGCCAGTTCTTTTTCGATGTATTTCTTTAAGTAATTTTTTTCATCAGTAAAGAAAATTGCTAGAACAGGAGGGAGGCTCCAGAAACATCCCCGTCAAATAGACAACAGCATAATTAGACCCGTGCCACAAAACTAATTGAAACTCATCACTTATCACACAAAGAGAAGAACCATTATGGTGGGGCTGCATAACGTTTGCGCACACTTTTCTTACAGATAACGTTTGCGCACACTTTTCTTACGGATAACGTTTGCGCACGCTTTTCACGAATATCATTTGCGCACACTTTTTACCGATAACGTTTGCGCACACTGCACTATTTCGCAACGCTTCAATGACGCGTCAGTAGTATCGCTTCGTGATAAGACAATTCAACGGACGGATAATTTATAAACGGACGAGGGGAAATTTTCATTTAAATAAATTCCAATAAGCAATCAATAAGTAAATGAATAAATAAGTTAATAAGAAGAAAATAGAAAATGAAGAAAGTTAAGAAAATAAGGTATATGGTTCTAGGTATCTGGCAGATTTTTTGCTGTTACTTCAGCTAAAAATGCTGTCACTGTCTTCACCGGAATCATCTTCAGTGCAAGGACGGGTTTTAGGGCTGTTTTTAGGGCAGGTTGCATTTGAAGAGCAAGTTTCATCAGCACCATTTTCAGAAATGGATTCATCAGGCTCGTCTGCATTGAAAGAGTCATTTACAGCCTCCGGGTTATTTTCTTCGTCTGAATCATTTTTGTCATGACATTTGACTGGGTCACTAATTGCCAGACAATGCATTGCAAGAAAATGTCTTATCATGAAGCGATGCTATGACCGCCCGGATCAAAACAAACTCCGCGGTTTTCGGTCGACACGCGTAGCATCATTGCAGCGTTGCCAAATAGTGCAGTGTGCGCAAACGTTATCGGTAAAAAGTGTGCGCAAATGATATTCGTGAAAAGTGTGCGCAAACGTTATCGGTAAAAAATTTGTGCGCAAACGTTATGCACCGTATGGTGGATACTTTCTAGGAAGACATAGCATGCTTTTTACGGTCATTTTCTTAACCAAAATCAAAGGTTTTATTGTGTTTTTGGTCGATGACGATATTTTAACTCATAATCGATTCGATCAAGGCACATAAATGATTTTTAGATTTTCTGTACCATAAAATCTTTCAAGTTTTTCTAAGGCAGATTTTGATGATAATGAAATCCAAAAACTGAACATATTAAAAAAAAGTTAGAATAAACAATACTAACGAAAACTCTGTTTGTAAAAAAACTTTGAAATGTAAATTGCAGTTTTTCAAAGAAAAATTACTCCCAAATTTAAAATTAGAGTTATAATGCTTTGAATTCCATCTCCTTTTGTGGGTTAGTACCCTTTGTCTCCGTGTAGTCACTTTCTTTGTGCATGAATGAAAAAATTATTTTCATTATTGTTTACAGGCACCGGTAAAAAAGGAAGAAAACAAATATTTTTGTTGCTTATGCTGTAAATCTGGTCCCCTCACTACTGTGCTTTCTTTACCATACACAGGATTTGTCTCTGGTGGATCTCTTCCATTCACCATAGAAGTTGATAACGCTAGTAACGTTGAAGTAACAGGAGTTACAGTTGACTTGTTGAAGGTATCAGATTTTTTTTTTTTAGAAGTTTGTCATAGCTTTATTTTAGATTTTTAAGATGTCTTGGTTAGTAATTGAATCAATTTATCATGTAGGACGATCCAAAAGTTCCGCACCACCTGTATAAGGCATTGCCCCTCTAGCTTTTGAACAGTGTGAGAGAGTGACTTGAGTGCTCTGTGGTCCAATGAGATGACCTTTGGGAATCCTCAAAACTTCAAAGGGACCACCCTGAAAAGAGGCCAGCACTCAAGACTATGTTACATCGGTGATGCAGGACTATTAGATCATCCTGTTTCCATGAAAAGTTGGTAGAGGACCCCATATGCAGTGATGATAAGAGCATCATTTTCTACCACGGTTTTGTAATAAAAGTTGCAAGACCTTGAAAATGCTGTATTTATTGAATGGTGCTTGAATTTCATGCCGATCTCGTAAGCTTTGCGAAATTTCACGACCGGAGCAAGCATAATCATCTCAAACGTAATTTTATGAATGACATATTTGATGCAGGTAAAATTAATCCTATTTACCTTCTGATCTAATTCTACTTTTTTGATGTTCTCACAAAACCTCCAGAAACTAAGAATCGTTACAATTGCTCCGAAAACTCAGAGGAGTTTCGAGCACCAGGATTTCCTTAAACACCGACCCAAAAGAATTCCGAGCTATATTGTAAATTAGTAAGTTGATCATCGGTTTGAAACAATTGTATAATATCATTTTATTTCAATCTCATCCAAATGGCCTAAGTACAAAACCATGTATCTCCATTGCAGCGTTTCAAAATGTCATCTTCTTCATTATTTTTTTTAGAGAAACAATAGGAATATCTATTTTACCAATACCAATTTTGTTATGGGAACGGAGTTTCCCATGATATTGCAATCGTTCCGCTGCTATGGCTATGTAAACCCTATGTCTCTGTGACCTTGAGCAAAATGCCCAGTGTCCGGTCTTTGGTTCATTTTCGGATGTATCAAAAATCGTTGCGTTTTTTAGCCAATCATATCTTTACGTTGTGGTGATATGGCTAAATGGCAACGTTGCAGAAGCGATATGGCTGAAAGGGCAACAGAGCAGGAGTTGCAGCATCGCCTAGCCCTGTGTTCTCCACAGGCCGAGAAGAGAGATAGCTGCGGCCTGATCGTACGCGAGGGAGAGAGACATGCAGTCACTGACGTCAAGTCAAACTACCCCTGTTTCCTCCCTCTCGCGGCGACAAGCGCAGCCAGGCCGTGCGGACCGCGAGCTCCACACAAAAGCCGGGACCTGAGTCTCACCTCCGGTGACTTTTTATGGGCCATTATCGCCGCCCGCTACACCGAGCATTCACGCTCCCGGAACCACGGGGGGCTTTGGAGAGCCGTTTAGGCTTTTGCAAGGTACGGGGGCCACAAGAGTCAGCTAAGAGTGACCAGTCAGAAAGAGCGTCTTTGCGAGGCCCCCAAATCAGCCACATGACCAAGGGCTACCTTGCCTGGCCAGTGACAAAAGCCGCAACAAGTTGCAACGCCATGTCGCAGCATCTCTCTCCCTGACCTACATCAACCAATGGGCCAACTTTGGGGGTTGGCCGACGAAAAGTGGTAGAAGGAAGAGAGGATGAGTCCTGGAGGTCCTCGGAAAACGAGGCCAGGACACTCTTGCGACAGACACCGAGCAAGGTCCCCAGCTATTTTTTTTCCCCTCATTTTTTGACTGGGGGTTTATTTTCTGCTATATTATTTCGAGTTCATATTTTGATATTTCGCTGTTCGTGTTCATATTTTGATATTTCGCTGTTCGTGTTCATATTTTTGATGTTTTTGATGTTCGTGTTCACATTTTGATATTCCGCTGTTCATTATCCTTATTTTTTTTTTGGACATTATACATTCCGTTCCATAGCTCAGATTTTTTTTCTCTTATTTTATCTCATCACCACCCCGATATTTCCACAACGTCAAGTCGTGTAGAATTCTAAAATTCGCTTTCCACGAGTTTGTTTTTACCTTGAGATGTCGTGTCTAACTAGTAAATCTGCGCAAAACCACCGTAAAACGAATTTAGGCAAATTCTTTTTTTGGGGAGGTTCTGATTGGTTAGTTTTCGCCATCAATTTTTTGTTCGTCGGTGCAAACAACCGCCCTCCTCGTTGCTCTTCAGAAGCCGCCATTATCCCACTTTAAATTTTAAATATAAAAATAAAGAAATAATAACCATCGCACAAGGTGGAAAATTGCTCTGGAGGACTCTCTACGGACAATGGAGCCTAAATCAGAACTCAATTGATTGATTTAATTCATGAATACGCAAATATTGCTTCAGCTCAACTGCCGCAATTGCGAATGCATGTTGGAAGGAACCTCGAGACACATGAAAGCATGTGCGAACCACGGCTCCTACAGAAATGCGCTTACTCCTTTCTCTCATATCACAGAAGCTACGAAGCGTCAAGGACAACTCTTGTGATAAGCCCCGCCCATCGTCCAAGTCTTTTAAATGCTCTTTTTACTACCGGTCCCAAAGAGTCGTGATAGTCCAGTTGTCTACGCCGCCACACATTAATTCCCGTTTGCGGGAGAAGGGCGATCGGGGGTTCGATGCCCAATTTTGAGGGTTAATTTTTACTGGTTGTATTGAATGTTTTAGACTAATCATCAAAATATAATTAATACTAGATGACAAATGTACGAACATTTTCTTGTGAGTTAATTTGTTGAACAAAAATACTGGAATATACCTCCTGCATATAGCAAGCCACATGTTCACCCAAATTAATGATGTTATTTTCTTTTTTCAATAAAGTTAATTTGCATTCCACGTTCGTAAGTTTAGCAAAAAGTACCTATTGATACAAATAGAAAGATATGAAAATAGTATGTCTAACATTTCAGTTGGTTTTTTTAGTGTATTTTCCGAAGGAAATACACTATTGCATTCTCCCCTGATGTCAGACCTGGACCAAAGACCATGTAATGAGCATCGATTATGGGTCGTAGATTACGAATATGCATGCCGCTTGAATTCATGTTTATATATATATATATATATCTCTCTGTTTATTTATGTATGTATTTCCGATTCATCGTGGTTTTTCCGATTTTTGCTTGGTTATATTTCCCTCATTTTAAAAAAATTCTGGGTGAAACTTTTTGCGATGTAAAGTAGAGGAACAGGACTACCATTCTGCGAAAAAAAAACGGAGATCAAAGTTTTACATTTCGAAAGGTAGGGGCGAGAAGTGGGGGGAGGTTCAATTTTGTGGGCGCGATAACTCGCGCAAATTAAAAGCTTCCCCCCCTCCCCCGAAATTTTTACAGAAGGAAGATCTTACTTAGTTCTAGGCTGGTAACCAATTTGAGCGAAATCGGTTGAGCCGTTTAAAAATGGCGAGCTTTGAAAGTTTTAGGCGGGGGGTGTACGGCAAAAGAGGAGGGAAGCCGCACAGTGGGTCACGACCAGAAAGTTGGTGGACAAGACGGCAATGTTGTCGCACAGTGGGTCACGAACTGAAAGTTGGTGGACAAGACGGCAATGTTGTCGCACAGTGGGTCACGAACTGAAAATTGGTGGACAAGACGGCAATATTGTTGCACAGTGGGTCACGAACTGAATATCGGTGGATAAGACGGCAATGTTGTCGTACAATGGGTCACGAACTGATGAACTGAGAATTGGTGGACACGATGGCTATATTGTCGCACAGTGAGTTACAGACTGATAATTGGTGGACAAGACGGCGATGTTGTCGCACAGTGGGTTATGGAGATTCATCCATCGTCATTCAAGCTTGTCACAGCGTTTGTTGACATTTTTTCATATCAGACATTACATGAGGATTGTTGTTGCAACCTGGCGACATGAAGTCTTTATTCGAATAATCAATGCCTCCAACAGTGTAAACGTAAATCCAACCTCCAAAGATTGATAACTCCCCGCCCCTCCCTTCGGAAAATACACTCTTCCCGCGGTGGACGCGCGGGTCACTTAAAAGACAGAACAACTGAGGCCGGACACTCAAACCAAAAAACGCGCGCGAAGCGCGCGTCCTGGGAGGGCTTGGGGGGGGGGGCTTGCCCCCCCAAAAACGCTCCGTGCCGGTTTTTTTTTCTTTCCTTTCAATAAAACAAATTGACTTGGACTAGAATCATTGTATCTCTGAAGACAAAAGTCAACTTTTTTGAAACAGAAATACTAAAATATTCATCCTTCGTACAATCAGGGAGATGTTAACCCAAATATTGATGTATATTTTCTGTGTTCGCCCAAATTAATGATGGTATTTTCTTTTTCCCAAAAAATCAATTTACATATCACGTTCTTAAAGCAATATTTTCTCCAAAATTTAGCAAAAAATAACAATTTATACCTACACACAAAAAAAAAAAAAAAAAAAAAAAAAAAAAAAAAAAAAAAATTGACATGAAAGTACTGTAGTACATACCCAACATTTCCTAATGTCTTCATGTTGGATCCATCATCTTGTTTTTCTTCATTAAAAAAAAATAAGTCACTGTTATCAAGAGACTAATTCATAAAATAACACGTCGTACTTATCTTTTGTTATTTTCCTCCCTTTAGTAATTTCGGTTTTTATTATTTTAAAGTTTAACTGTGATCAGCATTTATAAAATATCTCAGATGAAATTAGTTGGTCGGACTTTACATCACAACATAGACCCTTCAATTTTCCAGATACCACAAGGACATCCAACAATTATGATATGAACCCGGCGTTATGAAGGGGCGTTGTTTACCTACTTTAAATAAAAAGTGTCAAAGTTTTGTGGCCACGTTTGGACAGTGGGTAAGAATGAGAGATAAACAAGCAAAAACCAAAGAATGGAAACAGCGCATTACTTTACATCCTTTGCTCATAAAGGAGATAAAGAAGAAAAAGTTGGAAGCAAATGACACAGGGTATAGCCGTATTGACTCTAGGAAAAGTAGTTCAGGTTAAAAAGTTTACTCATACAATTAGAACTTATTTCAGCTAAATACTAATTGACACAAACACGATTCCGAAAAAATTAAATACGAAAAATGAAAAAGGAAAGAAAGAAAGTCAAGAAAATTCAAATACTCTATGATAGGATCCAGATTTCTTTCAAAATAAAAAAAATAATGGCTTCCTAAAAATAGCGTCAGACGGAAAACAGTTAAAAAAACTTTGAAAGGCAATGTACATGCAAAGTTGGAACAGCAATACTAGTAATTAAAAATTAAGACAAATTATTAAAAATACTGCTACTTCAGTTGTTGTCTTTCCCTCAGAGCACGGTGGGCCAGATCGTGTCCGTAGCGGCGCTTAATTCATAACTCCTGCTATATCAGACATATCGTTCAAAACATTGTGATTCCTAGGGTAATTTGATCTGCACTTTCCAAATTTAATGTCAAAAAACCAGCAAAAATGTCTACATGCAGGTTTTGAAGGTCGAAAGCCGAAGAAATTACTCCATAAAAAAGAATATCTTATGCTTCTCATAAAATGGAGGAAAAACACAATCATCGAACAGAAAAATGTAATCTTATCATCTATCCTTGTAAAAAAAAAAAAAAAAAAAAAAATCGCGAAAATATTCTCCTTTCAGTAGAATCCAATTGAAAGGAGAATATTTTTGCTTTTGCAAATCCCAAAAATATTGATTTTTAGCAGCTGGCATGAGATCAAAGTTGCCCGCAAAATAAGCCTCAAAAAATGAATTTTTCAGAATATTGTAGACTAGGAAAGTGTCATTGCGGCTCGTTGCGCGGATCTCTTTAGTATTCTTAGAAAGCATATCCTAGAGATACCATATACCAAAGCATAAATGGTACAAACCGGTACAACCATATTTTTCGGATGCTTCTTTGAGGTAACCTCCCATTTCCGCGAGAATCAGATTTAGAGGTTTTAAGGAACCACGGTACACAGTAAAGCGGCCCAATGAAATATTTCAACACAAATTTATATTTTAAGGGGTTTTAAGGGTTCTTAAGGTTTCCAATAGCATTTCTCGCTCTTTAGATATTTTAGGGTGGAAGGAGGGGAAGGCCGACCAAAACCAGACAGTCAAGAATTTGTTATGGTCAACAATTTTCTTTAGCCCAGTGACTAATGATAATCTTTTTACATCCGTTCACACATTCAGCCCAAATAGGACTGGTTTTAAACCAATTTGGTAATGAATATGAAAATTCTACCATCACATGGCACCTGAGTTTATAGTAAGTTGACCGTCGCTGACACCAATATAACTGATGAAATTTTAATTTCACTCTTGGACTTTAAGTAATGTAATATCGTTTGATTGAAGTCACTCAGATAACTAAATATTGACTTCTTTAAATACAACTATGCCTATTTTAGTGTTACACCCCTCCTACAAGCTATTGTCATTGTATAAATAATGTGTTATTTTCGGTAAGTAACGGTATCCTGAGCTGTGTACGAGTCGGTTCTTGAAATTGCGTTATTTTTATACCAACGTTAATGTTTGATCGAATTAGCAGAATTCGAAATAGATTCCTCCTGCTCCTCTAAGATATCACCCTCGAGCATGCAAGATTTCATGAATTACAGTTCAACAGTGAAGTTGAAATTTCATCGGTTATATTGGTGTCAGCAACGGCCAACTCACTCTTAACTTAGGTGCCATGTGATGGGAGAATTTTCATATTCATTGCCAAATTGGTTTAAAACCAGTCCTATTTGGGCTGAATGTGTGAACGGATGTAAAAAGAGTATCATTATTTACTTGGCTCAAGAAAATTGTTGACCATAACAAATTTTTGACTGTCTGATTTTGGTCGGCCTCTCCCTCCCCCTCCTTCCACCCTAAAATATCGAAAGAGCGAGAAATGCTACCTATTAGAAACCTTAAAAACCCTTGAGACATGAATTTGTGTTGAAATATTTCATTGGGCCGCTTTACTGTGTACCGTGGCTCCTTAAAACCTCTATATCTGATTTTCGCGGAAATTGGAGGTCACCTCAAAGAAGCATGCGACAAATATGGTTGAACCGGTTTGTGCTTTGGTATATGGTATCTCTAGGATATATGCTTTCTAAAAATACTAAAGAGAACCGCGCAACGAACCGCAATGGCACTTTCCCAGTCTACAATATTCTGAAAAATTCATTTTTTAAGGCTTATTCTTCGGGCAACTTTGATCTCATGCCCTGCAGCTAAAAATCAATTTTTTTGGGATCTGCAAAAGCGAAAATACTTTTCATACAATGGAGTTAACCAATCAGATGCATGTAATGGTGTGAGGTTCACGAGTGCACTGTGAAATAAGTGAGTATGCCACGCGCGCCTCAGGTTGTAGAAATGTGCGTTCATCGTATTTCATGTGCTGTATACCTATTTACGTGGAAACCCTAGATATAATGAATATTTTAGATGTTCCGTCGTAATTTCGTTATCAGTAGGTATCTGAGCATCGATTAAGATGCCTCTGATGAGGAAAAATAAAAGTCAAAAAATTGAATCCCGCGCCGCTACGGGCATAATCTGGCCCTTAGGCCGTCATTTTACCCTTAAAATCCGGAAAAGTCGAAAAGAAAGAAACGGCCCCACTTGCGATTTTGCGGTTTTCAATTCCTCAATCTAGAGACCTTCCTTGACACTTTTCTAAAAAAAAAGCGCAGGTGATCTTCAGGAAAATTTAATTTTTTTAAAACAGACTGTGGGGGATCCAATAGCGCGTCTGGACTTGGAGCAGTCGGTGTATGCTCTTCTTTAGCACTCACGGCCCTAAACTTAAGATAACGCGAAACATGATAACCAGATTCCGTTGCAGACACCAAATCCACAGTCACTGAGTAGAATACAGTCACTGTAGACGACTTTAAACGCCACCCTTAGGTCAAGATACTGTTTGCATTTTTAATGATCCATCTGTAAATGTCAAAACTTTGCCTGCACTTGTACCTTTCTTACAAATGAAGCACATTGTATCCATCTTCTGCTGTCTAACTTTTTCCACTTGACCCGATGACCGATAGCGGAATGAAAGTGTCCCGGTGGAAATTGTACGAAGACTACAACCTGCTGTCCACAGGACTAGTTTTGTGGGTACAATATTTTGACACAAAATTTGGTGTGCCTTTTATTATGTGGTTGGTTATCGTTACTTCAGGATTGTTACTTTTTGCACGAAAATGAAGAACTTACGACTTTACACCCTCCCGCCACCTGACACCTATTACCCTTCCATACCCGCTCTCCTCCTGTCAGGTAAATTTGCATGCGCAGGCAAACCCTCCCGGCACGTATGAGCGTCGGCTTCCTTTTGTCTATTCAGATTTAAGGGTTTTCACAGTTTTCTCTGCAATAAGTGACGGCTCAGTGCAATAGGCTTGCCCGGTTCTTGAGGGCGAGCGTTCATCATTTAACCCTTCGCATCAACCCTGACCAAGCATCCTCTTCAGTCCTCAGGGCTATACGATGAGAAGGAGTCCAATTGAAAATATTGTGTAACGGACAATGCTGCTACATTTCAATACTTTTTTAGGTTTTTCAAAACTTAGCACGTTACTCTGGTCGTGCGAATAGATGAAAATGAATGAATGTGACCCCTAAAAATGTTAACATTTGAATTTTGAAAATACTTCTTGTCTGGCACCCCTCCCCCACCAGTTTTCGACTGCCAGACCATGATTTTTGTTTTTAGCGTGATCTTACCTCTTAGATGAGCCTTCGACGAGCATTATATCTTTCCACATAAAATTTTGTACAATTCGTCAAAATTTTATTGAGTCTGGCGCCCTCTTCCCCCCGGTTTTTAAATGCCTGACCAGGCCATTACCATCCAGGTTAGAGTCCCTTTATACCCAGAGTTAAGACAACTCACATCTGGTTGGGCTGAAAATGGCCTAAAAAAAATCCAATTCTGATTGGTTCTCGCTCATGGAGGCCGAAACGAGTGCACCAAGATGGCGGTACCTCGAATGTGAACCAGAATAATGAAAATATTACTCTAGAAAATATTACCTAATCGTGGTTTATCAAGAGTAAATTGTTATTTCCATCGGTCCAAAATGAAAATAGATTAAGAAATTATTCACAAACCAATCTCATTTTCTTTTTAATTGATCACTTTGTCGATGTTGTTGTTTTTGTGTGACAGACATCGCAGGATTCCTGATCCTTACCCTCAATATCGTTCGTTTGGGTGCACTCGTTTCGGCTTCCATGGCCAGCCAAGTTCGGCTGCCAGTCAGCTGATAATCGAGTTGTCTTAACTCTGGGTATAAAGGGACTCTAATCCAGGTCAATCATCCATACAAAATAAGTCTGAAATCAGGCATACATGCTTTTGAAAAAAGCACATCAGGCGTCTCATGAGCTAGCGTTGAGGAGCCGAATTCGAATTTTGTGGGTAATTTATTTCCGGTCTGGCGCCCCTCCCCCACCACCTTACGACTGCCAGATTGGAACTTTAGTTTTCAGCATGTTCTCACCTTATAATCGAGCCCTCAACGAAAATTATATCGTGCCACATGACAATTAGGTAAAATTTGTTAACATTTTTTTGAGTCTGGTGCCCACTTCTCCCCGGCTTTGGACTGCTAGACCTAGTGATGATGATTCACGACACTCAGCCCTATGAAATAATCCAAAAATCAGACATACATGTTTCCACCTAAAAATGACGAAAAATTTCAAAATTTACGGTTGCGTAATTTGGTTCTCCCCTGGGTTCGGGCTGCCAGACCACCGGATCCTTGTTGCACAGGGGTAGGTACTAAAAAATCATTGAATCGCCAATTTACATCTTTCCACATAGGGTTTGGCCGGCTTGCTCGTGCTTTTAGAATTCCTTGAATTGCTTAAAAAAGAATTTTATGTACAATTTACCACCGTGCTTCATACATCATCCTTAATATCATGGTCAGATTGTTTGTGAACAACATTTACATCAAACTAAACTTTTCTACGCCTCTCCAGGTTATGATGGGTCAATGAAAGTTAGTTGGGTGTTTTGATTCCAGGGGTTAATTATCTTCCAAGAATTGCTAGATCGGGGTTTAGCTTCTTCCAAGGAAAGTTATAACTTTAATTTTTTTACCCTTTGTGAAGTATGAATGAAAATACAAATGCTTATTCATCAGATAGTATAGTATCATATTTATCCAATGATTAATTATTCTAGATTGATCACAAATTCATAATTTTGTGGAAGGATACTGCTTTTATTTTTCTTCCTAGCATTTTCCGAAGATTTTGTAGGCTTTCCAAGTTTTTGCTTGATCCGAGATGGCGTAATCTGGAAGATTATCAACCCTCGTTTGATTTCACGACTCTTGACCCCCTTCAACCCCAGTGAGCTCCGTATTAATAAACCAAGGAGGACTATAAAATGGTAACCATCAGATTTCTCGCAGAATATAGTAGATGACATTCATCTCTTGATTATGCAAACCCCTATTTCTATGCCCATGAAAGGCAGGCTGTTGATCTATGGTCCAGGGGTAGACCCCTTGGCTGACCGTTGAGTTTCTTAAGAAAATCCTGAACAGCTACCTCTGATTTCAGCAAAGTGCCTCATTTTTTCTATTGTGCTTCAGACTATTACCTACAAAGCCAGAGGTTCCCAAAGTGCAGAGATTTCCAGCAACACGAGCATTGTTAAAGTTGACTTTGAAGCAGTGGGTGCTAATAACTCTAAGACATGGACGCACACTCTCACTGTTCCGCAGATGCCCTTCCACAATCTCACAACTTGTTCCATCATAATCATAAATTATGTCTTAAAAGTGAGTGGTTTCTGAGGTCTAAAGATTTTCCTTGTCAATCCATAGCTATTAGTTCATTGGTGTTTCATCCTTAGATTCTAGGTCTAGAACAAATGAACCATCATCTTTAGAAGAGTACTTACTCGACAGTTTTTTTATTTATTTATTTCATAACGATAGAATAATTTCGATTGCAAGACGAAATAATGTACATTGCACATTATTTGTACATACACATGCTACATGTGTTATTGATGGGCTATTTTGTTCGGTAGACTGAAGGAGATCTGCAATGGCAGCTCCCTGTCTTGCAGAATTATTGACTAGTTGAAGCATCCTCTTGGGAGCTGAAAATTAGTCACTCATTCGGCCCAATAGGAAGCTCTCATCGCAGATTTCAGTCGGCCGAACAAAAAAGCCATTGATCATGTAAATCTATTCCACTTTAGTCCTGTGTTGTTCATCAGTCAAACACGAAATTTAATCATTGCCTCACCGTGGGTCCAATTACTTATGAGACCATTTGGAAACGTTTTTTCAGTGTTAAATGTTTTCTCTCGAAGCGAGCTTCCTCCTGCTCCACTAATGCATGTATTTATGCTGGAGAACTCGTAATGGCAGTTATTCTTGCTAGTATGAAGGATGACGAAAATACCATCTTGCAGGATGATTTTACTCCTTTTTATCTCATTCTTTTGTAACAGTATACTGCATCATTTCCTGATCTACCTCCTGTCCAAGCCACATACCTGGAAAGAAGTACACTTAAAAATACAGCAAACTCAGCTTTAAAGATACGGAATCTGAAATAAAATTTGTCCCGAAAACTCCTTGTTGTGTGATAGATTTGAACTTTTGTGTCTTTTAATTTACTTTGCAATTGGAGGGAAGAAGTCACCAGACCAGGAAAATATCAGGAAATAATGATAAGATTTTGTTGATTGAAATGCACACAAATGCTATCATACTTTGGATTTCGAGGAAGAGCCTTCAGTTCTTGTTCAGCTCCTAATTCGCTTTGCAATGATTTCAGGTTGTGACAGTAGTTAGTGGAGCCCATTTAAATTTGGAAATGGAGGTGCCCATGACTTTTGGATCCACGCCGATTCTTGCTTTCCCCTCAGCTGCTGCTAGCCTGGAAAAAGGAACACCGGACATTTCAACCATTGGATTTTCTGTTGACCCAGTAGCTCCGTCCGCTCCTCCCAGCCATATCTATCCAACTATCAGTGAGTTTACTAAGGGTTCATAAGTTTTCCGATGTTAAGAGCCACTTCTTGCGAAAGTGTGAAAGTCTGTAATTTTCTCCTCTTCCTTTTGAAGATTATAGGACGCGATAATTAGTGCGATTAAATGAAATTAAGAAATGAAAGATTCAAAGATTTAAAAACTCCAACTCACAAGCTTTTGAGTGTCCGTTTAAGTTAGTTAGGTTTTTTGATCTAAGTTATTTGAGGTTTTCAATGTCCGGTTTCTTTATTTAATATGTTAACTCACAGTTTGTTATCTAGGTGTCCCCTTTGTTTCGCTCTGTTTTCTGTTACTTTTAGTTTCAGTAGTGTGCTTACTTTAAGACAAATTTTTAATTTTATTAAAAGAAAGAGTGAATGAATTTGAGTTTTGATCCAACTATGATCATAATATTTCCAATTTATCTGTGAATCTCTCGGTGATTTCTGTTCTTTCCATGTAAGAAACTTCAAATTTTCTCATATTATTCTTAAACTTTTGTCTGTTTCAGGTCCTGAATGATCGTAAGCACATATTACTTGCAGGAGAGAAATTGGCCCGCGTTAAACAAAAAGGAACCAAGCCACATCAGCTGTTGCCAAATTTAATTGGGCAATTTAAGTTTTTACATAAAAACGGTTCTGCGAATTTTCATGCAAATTGCAGTGAAAATTCTCCACGGTTTAAAGCAAATTCCTTAAACATTTCAAAGGAATCCGCACAAAGGAATCTCTCGTAAAAAATTCTATTGCCCAGTTAAATTTGGCAATAGCTGATGTGGCTTGGTTCCTTTCTGTGAAACTCGATCCAATTCTGACTGCAACGTAAAAACTGGCTTCACGCCGTTTGCTTTGCCTTCAAATATATTCTCTTTAGTTGCTAAGTTTTAAATTTTCAACGAGCTCTTCTTCTACTCACGTATTTACTTGGCAATTTTAACACAGATTTCCTTATTCTTTAGAGTAAATGTAAGTGCAATTTTTTCCTATGTTTTTTCTTTTTTAAAAGGATTCTGTACACTCAATATGGGATTTTGTCCCTTAATCAATTCCCAATTTTTTCATCACATTGCATTCATAGCTTAACCCTGATGGAAAGTTAAAATTGTGCAAAATTTCTACAAGTATGTTTTTGTGGAAATTGCAGTTTCAGTTTCGATCATTTGCCCAGTGTGAATGATAATGAAGCAGGTAAGGCATGAAACGGTCTAAGAGGTCGGTAGCCACTACCGCTAATTAACTAACTTGCCTCTAGCCTTTAACTTCAAAAGTTGCAGAAAAGAAAATAAGAAGTGCAATCCTCTGAACGCTCACGATTTTAGTATGTTACAATTCAAGTCATGCAATGTAAAAACTTTATTTAAAAACTTCCATTTGAAAAATTTATTTTTACAAACATATTTATAATTCTCGAATGTTACCATGCGATGACATACTCAAAATTGGCTATCTCAAGTACCTCTAGTTAAGCTGAAATTTGACCCATATTGTGCCAAGTTCTTCAAAAGAACCATTATTTTTTTCCGTTACCAAAATTGTTTTTCCTATTTGTTGCTATAATGTATAAGAGGTTGTTTGAGTATTGCTGAAGCTACTTTGGAGAGAATCTCAGCTTGTTTTGCAAGGGGCGAGGAGAAGGGGGGTTGAGCCCAGTCTTACTCAAGCCTCCCCTCTTTTTTTATTAAAATATTTTCTAATAGAAATATTTTTTAGCTATTTTTCAGGCTTTATCTGTTATTTTCTGGAAAAAAGAGAGACAGTCAAGACTAGACTTTTGTATTTCATACAGAGGGGTGAGAGCTTGTCTTGTGAATGCATTACTATAGGAGGGAGGGGTCTGAAAGTCAGCCAAAATTGCTCATGTAATACTTGAACTGTTGTCTTTTTTCGATTTTTCCAAGTTTAAACTACTTAGTTACTGTGCCAAAAATTGTATTACAAGAATCTAAGTGTGGTTGTGTGATTTTTATATCTTGCTTTTGTGTCGGAAAAATTTAGAATCGAAGTCTGATAGGTTGCATGGAACAGTTGCACAAATGCATTCAAAGGATCTGCAAAAAACTAGGATATCAGTGAGATTTTTAATGCTAATAGCATGATTCATAATCAATGAAGAAGTCATTTTATTCGTCCATCAATGAATTAGAGTTCTTCCCCTCCTGCTCTTACAAATGCCTTAAAACCCATGTAAAATCTCTAAAGAAAATTATCGAAGTGTTAAGAATTATGGATTCATTTGCTCAATTTTTCCAGCATTATTGGCAAGATGTAGGTAAAAGCTAAATGGAGGCAACAAGGATCTTTCAGTATTTTTTCTACAAATTCATTGATTAATTCGTGATAATGGTGTGGACTCAGCACCATTTATCCACCTTGTTAACTGGTAAATAAATTATTCCAGAACGATTCTTGAAAGTAGAAATAAAGGAATGAATCTCACTCCTCTATGATTACGCAGCATAGGTTTTTTTTATTTGCACAAGAAAATATAACATCGTACAATACACACTTATAGACTCATGAGGACTTATTTGTAACAATAGCGGATGTGAAAAATTACCTTTTCGAAACACATTCAAAAAACTGTTTTGGTATCGAGAAAATTTTGAGAAAATACTTGAGATGTGATCTTCGAGATCTGTACATTATGCCAGAGCCAAACATATTAAAGTTTTGTGTGAACAAAACAGTTTTTTAAGCGTGTTTTGAAAAGGTAATTTTTCACATCCGCTATTGTTACAGATAAGTCCTCATATGATGTCTTTTAAAGCTTAATTTAACTGTAAAATACTCAACCATTATTTATATGCATTTTATCTTATTTGCCACTGCCTCTATGAATTGAGGAGGAAGGTTAAGATACAAATTTATTACTAATGAGAATGTCTGTTTGTTTTTACTTTCAAAGTCATTTGTTTTATTTAAGACTGCGGTTGACCGTCACCGGTCAAAGACCCAGGTAAACTTGTTTTAAGGGAATAATTTTGTGAAACCCTGAATTCCAAGCTCATAGGGTTGATGTCACTTCAGCCTGCGACCGCATCGGTCCCATTCCAGGAGCACAAGCGCTTCTTGGTTGGAATGACGATGCAGTCTCATTTCATATACAGAGTACATCTTGATGCTGTAATTCTCCTTGAGTCGATGTTGAGGTCAGTGCGAATATCCGCTTTTCTCTCATACCATTTTGCTTTAACAATGCTGCGCAGGGTTTTCATCTGCATTACTTCAATTTTATCTAGATTTGACTTGGATGCACAACCCCACAATTGGCAACCGTAACTCCAAACCGGCCTCAACATTGACTTGAAGAGAAGCAACTTTAGTTGTAGGGAAAGTCGAAATTTGCGCCCCAAGAGCCACTGCATATTTTAGAATTTAAGTCGCAGTTGAGCGACCTTTTTTTTTAATGTGAACTTCCCATCTGAGCCTGGAATCCAGGTGGAGGCCAAGATATTTAGCGATAGTGTCGTTAGGGAACTGAACTTCCCCTAAAAGTAAGGGATACATAGCATGGTGTCAACAAACAGTTTTTCATAGTTTTGGTTGACACCATCGTCATCCAAAAATAAAAAAATTCTGACGCCCGTAAGGGATGATCACGAAGTCAACGAAACTGAAAACTTCCCTTCATAACATCTTTCAAATTTCAAGTTTGGTTTTTCCCATGTTATTTACTCTAACCTAACCTAACATAACCTTACCCAACATTAACTTACAAGACCTAACCCGCTTTCACAGAATTTAACTTTCCCCAACCTTATCTTACCTAACTTTAACCTTACCTACCTAGCTTTAACCTCACCTACCTAACTTGAACCTTACCTAAACTTTAACCTTACCTACCTAAACTAACCATACATGTCCTAACCTAAACTACCCTAATCTAACTATACGTGACCCAAACCTCTCCTGTAGACTTAATTTCTAAATTTATTAATAAGGAAGATATTTTTTTGTTTGTTGACATCGTGATCGTTGACACCATGCTCAGGGCCCATTTTTGCGTTTTACTGCCCGAGGACGTCAACAATTGTTGACTCAACGAAAACCTTTTTTCTTTTATTTCCAGACTCAGTGAAATCAAAACCTCGTACCTTGAGTTTTCTTCGTCGAAAACTCCATATTTATTACATCACTGCCTCAAGTGCCCAACTCTTCTGCATTTAGAGTGGCACAAAAAATGCTAGCAAGTTTTGACCATATGAGTAATTATAATAATATTTTGTACAGTATCACAGCACATGCAAGTGTACAGCAGTGTCTGAAAGAAACAATGTTTTCATCTTTTTTTTTTATATTATTATTATTTTTCTTTTTAAGGTAGAACAGCTTTTATACAAAGCTTTGATCTAAGTCATAGTATCTTAGAAAAGGTCAGGTTGTGTGATAGAACTAAGCCAGTCAACATGGATTTTGTGGTCATATAGTTTTATTTTTGTATGGTGCTCTGCTGAAACTGTTTAGTTCACTTCCAGTTTCTCAGGAAAGGAGTGGAGCGAAGGCCCTTTTCCTGCCTCACCTGGATTTTGTTCAATGTTTCATAATTCCAAAAAAAGGTAATAGTAGTCCTAGTAAGACTCCGTATTAAAACCCTTACTTACATGGTGAGGCCTCCCAGAGACCACCTTTTTAAAATTTTTGATCGAATCTTGGAGCCCTGCGTGGGCATGGTTGTTGTGTCAGAAGACCAAGAATATTATCTTAAATGAGGGAAAATTTTGTCCCAGATGATATCTGTTGGTAGCATTGGCATGTAGTTGTTCGTTTACAAGAAAGCACGTTTTCGTTTCGAGGTTACCCAAAACACCAGCTGGAGGTTCTCTTTGTTTTCTGACAAGTTTTAGTATTTAAACCAGTCGAATTCAACTGGTGCTTGTAATTTTTATTGAATACCCTTTTCTGATGGATTTCCATCGTTGGTTCGTACAAACGATCATAGTTTTTATAAAATTATTCCTCTTTGAAAAAGTGATGAACAGGTGGCCCCTAGGAACACCACCATGCAAGTGAGGGTAGGGTGTTCCGTTTTTAGACAACCATCTCAAAACCTTGCTCCCCGGACTTCTTCCCATTCCTTTTGGTCCCCAAAAGACAATTCTGAAGTTTCAGCACCATAGCTGAAGTCTACACTTTCCCCCAAAGCGATGAAAATTTTGGGAGCAATTACATTGGTTTAAATGGGGAGAAAATAGGCCGATTCGCGGAACTACGTTTTTCGGTCGTAAAATGCGCCGAAATGATTTCAAACCTGACCATCTCTTGAGAAGTCGTCCAGAGGTCTGTTTTGAATGAGAAAATTCCACTTTTGATCCAGAGATGGGAGGAGGGGGGGTCACGGCGCAGTTAGTTTGGAGGCGCTGTGCGCAGCAAAATGATAGCATTTGACAGTTTTTGATCAACCTCAAAACAGGCTCTCCGAAGCTGAAGAGGCTGATATATCTCATAAATTGTAATAAAATAATGTACAAGAGTTGTTTTCATCCCTTCAGAACTATTTTCGACCATTTACACTGTTGCCAAAATCACTCAAGTGCAGAACATAATATACACTAAATTCCTTCCAGTTTCGAGTAAATTTTGACAACAGTGTAAATGGTCGAAAATAGTTCTGAAGGGATGAAAACAACTCTTGTAAATTATTTTATTACAATTTATGAGATATATTAGCCTCTCCAGCTTCGGAGAGCCTGTTTTAAGGTTGATCAAAAACTGTCAAATGCTATCATTTTGCTGCGCGCAGCGCCTCCAAACTAACTGCGCCGTGACCCCCCCTCCTCCCATCTCTGGATCAAAAGTGGAAAAACAGACCTCTGGACGACTTCTCAAGAGATGGTCAGGTTTGAAATCATTTCGGCGCATTTTACGACCGAAAAACGTAGTTCCGCGAATCGGCCTATTTTCTCCCCATTTAAACCAATGTAATTGCTCCCAAAATTTTCATCGCTTTGGGGGAAAGTGTAGACTTCAGCTATGGTGCTGAAACTTCAGAATTGTCTTTTGGGGACCAAAACGAATGGGAAGAAGCCCGGGGAGCAAGGTTTGAGATGGTTGTCTAAAAACGGAACACTCTAAAGTGAGGGGTTACCAAAAACTCATGATTTGGTAACAAGCGGGTTTCATCGTTTTTACTATTTTTTCACGTTTTTTGATAAGCAATATTGTATTTTCTTAAGTAATACGCTTCACTTTCAAGGCAGAGATATTTCAATGTGGGTCCTAGAATGATGCAAAAGCAAATATGCTGATAACCTGCTAATGATATTATTTTCTTAATTTTCCTCCAAATCCATTACTTTGTGAAATTTATGTTTTCTTTTAATTTCTCACATACTGCATGATCCTACTTTTGCCAAAATTAAAATGTGAGCTGCTCATATACTTGTGTATAGGTTGGAAACTCTTCCGAACAGAGGCCTGTCACAGGACCGTGCAGGGGGTAATGGGGTGGGGTATAGATGGTTGATTTCTCTTTATACGATTTTTCCTTTTTTGACCTTACTTTAAGTTCGATGGGGGAGGGGGAGATAGGCCTCCTCCCCCTGCCAACTGAGGGGTATCCACATCAAGCATGTATTATATTGTTCTCTCTCTTTATTCATTCAGATGGATACTAAAGCATATTGACTCTTTTCTGGGAGGAAGGAGAGAATGAAAAAAGAAAGAGATAAAAGGAAAAAGAAAAGAAAGGAAATTTAGACGGTCAAATTTGAGTACCTTAATTCTCGATTATTTTAACTTCTGCCCGAAATTTGGGGACCTGAAAACGCAACGTCGAACTAATTTTGACCTTACCGAGATATGATGAGGCAAAATTAAGGAAAAGTGCCTCCTTTCGCTGGAAAATCGTATGACCTTAGAATTGACGTATTTGGGGGTCTGACCCCCCCCCCCCAAGTTATTTTGAGGTGATTTCTGTGATTTTTACTGAACACTGCTTACAATTTGCTACACTTTCCCGTTTCATTTTTTTCTCTACGATAATTTGAACCGGTGTTATGATTTTTTGAAAATAGGTCAAATTTGACCCTTGACCTATCATGACTCGGTCAAAAATTGAGATATTGATGACAGTTTGTGCCAAAAATTATTAGTTTTTAATCTTCTTTCCAATGATGTATCACGAAACAGGGGTTATTACCATTTGAAAAAAAAGGATGGGGGGGGGGCCGCCCCCCTAAGGGAAAAGCAAAAATGTTGACTCCCCCTGGAAGATGGTCCCTTTGGAGATAGAAACATTCCCAAAGTTTCGTTTTTCTATTCCAAAATCCGTTTTTCCGCCCCAAAAGTCCGTACCCCCCCCCCCCCCCCCNGTATCACGAAACAGGGGTTATTACCATTTGAAAAAAAGGGGGGGGGGGGGGGCTATGGACTTTTGGGACACCCTGTATAGTAAGAATATGCAGAAAAATTCAATGTTTAACCTTTTCCCTAATTGCTTTCAGGTACGGGTTATTAAACATCTCTTGAAACCCAGCCCACCCATAGGCGCAGTAGCGTTTCAAATGCTAAATGCTGGTTTCGAACAATAATCATAATTGCCATCATTGTGAATGATAGTTGCAATACTTGTGGGCTTGTCAAGAATCCAAGTAAGGCTGGAAAAGACCTAAGGGTCTTTAGAAGGGGGTTTATAGGGATGGAAAGAAAGAGAGGCGCTAAGGCGCCACTCTTTCCATCTTCAATTTGTAGAAGTGCATCAGCTCCTAGGGAGTATGTGAATGTCCTTTTTTACTTTTTTAAAATCAATTTCAATCGGAATTAGCATCATTCATAAGAGGTCCGTCAGTAGTGGAAGCTCTGTGCTCAATAATTTTTTGTTGAATAATGTTAATTATTTTATTACCTACATTAAACTCTCATTTACTGCTTCATCTGATAATGGTGATTAAAGAGAAGGTTTTTTATAGCTCAGTTATGAGCTTCCACTGTTATTAAGATTATCCATTGCTCTTTCTCGACTGTTCAGTTTATGTGAGCTGACTTCTGTCGAACTAACCTTACAATGTGTGGTGCAGCTGAGATTAATTCAATTTTTTCTCGTGAAAATAATCTCTTTTTTACAAAGTTGCCTTTGGTATTTATAAGTTGCAGAATTCAGATAATTCATAGGCTGTCCCGCAATAAATGCCACTGGTCCTTGTATGAGTGAACCAACAGAGATTGCAAACTTCAACTCTCATTATCTCAAGTAGTAACTAAATGGTTTTCAAACATCCTACGTGGTGCTCAGTTGGCCAAAAGTGAAGAGAATAACGGTTTTTTCAAGATCGTTTCACGTGGAGAACCTTAAACGATTTCCAGTCAGGTTTTTTTAGGAACAAAATGCATCTTAAGACGAAGATTTAAAGTCAATAATGCCTTAAGATGAATAAAAACAAACAGTTGATACCCCAGTCTGTCTTAAGGTGTCTCAAACTTTTCGAAGCTATGCCTGGTTAAAACTAAATGACATGAAGGACACATGGATACTTACCAAGATACCTCTCTGTTTGACTGCACAAGCCAAACCTCGCTTATTATTTGATGGAGGGGAAAAGGATGAGGCTGGTCTCTCTTTCTCGTTCCTCATCGTGTCTAAAATCTGGACCTAGCACCTTGTGACTTCTGTGTTTTTCTAGAACTGAAGAGGCGTTAAGAATGTAGGAGACTTCCTCAATTGAAGAAAATATGGTTTCAAACGTTCTCAACACCCCTACTGTTGTAAAAGGCATTCGATATTTTTCTCCTTCTGATTATAAGACTTTTAGAAATTTGGTTTACAAATTTCCTTTCTCCTTTGCAAAACTTTCGAGGAAAGTGGAAGATCCTCCTCATTAGACTCTTACAGATGTGCTCCAAAATTCGCTAGGTTATTTTCCACTTCGGCACCATGAAAGCCTATCCAAGATCTGTTGAGTTATTAATGGGAGCTGTCAAACCGCAGTTCGCTATCTTGACTCGCCCATTCATCCATATTCATGGAGCGAACAATGTGTTCATCTAAACATACAGGGTGATCCATAAACCCTATACTACCTCTATATCCCCCGGGGTTCTTACCCATTTTTCGGGTGATACCGTTGGAAGTTTAGAAGGTCCCAAAAGTAGTTTCTTTTCACCTAGAAGCACTCACAAAATTTCCAATCGCTATCTCTGTGTATTCATAAGTTAGGAGGATGATGCCTCATGCTGGACTTTTGGACAAAGTCCAAAGAAAAAAAAAGATGGTGACTAATGAAAAATAACCGAGAGATATTTTTCTAGAAATAGTGATGTTGCAATTGTTTACGAGGTTGCAATTGACTTCTGGGCGTATTCATGCTATGTGAATTATGTTCGTCATGATTTTTGTATAGGTTTTTCTCCACTGAAGTGCCTATGTGTGTAGCCATCTGCAAACTCATCAAATGGCCTTAATTTTCATACTTGGGTATTCAGGTATTAGTTAGTTTACCATTTGAAAAATTACTGATAGCCTCTATTTTTGAAATTTTGTCTGAAGTCCTGATTGTAATACTATGTGCGCACAGTGTTGTGAGATATAATGCTTACTTTTCAAACTGCTCGTAGTCCTCTAGTGAAATATGTACTATTTTGCATTAGGTATCTCCTATGTTTATACAGAGAGCACAATTCTTTGAAGGGTCAATTTTTGTTTGTTTGTTTGTTTTTTTTTAACTCCACCTGTTGTTTTTCTTAGTATCGACTTGTCTATTTGACTAATATTTTGTTTTTCTATGCAAAAACAGAAAAGAACATGCACTTTTCTGTCGAAGTCATTCAGATGCAGCATTTCGGCTTGTTTATTGTTTATTGTTTAAAACTTTATTCATTTGTGTAAGCAATTTGAAACCCTGTTATAGCTCCTAAAAATAAATTGTATTTTCTTTTCATCGTATTTTATCCGGAGTCCCAAGTTAAAACAAATACGACTTTTTAATCCGCAGACTACAATCACCTAGAGTCTTGGTGACAAGCCAGTCGTCCAGTTGTAGGTTTAAAATGATGTCCTCCATTCCAGAGATTGTAGACTGATGAATGAATATATTGTCACCTTCCGCCTAAAGTATCAAGCAAAAGCACCATTTCTGCCTGGGCACTACTTTTCTAAATTACTCAAATTTATCCAACTTTTTATGGCAAAATTATTGAACAGAATCACCTCTAAATTTTACTTGATATATCTTTCGCCATCAGGTATTAGTTCCGAAATTCTCGTGAAAGTACGAGCAAAAGTTTTATAGACAAAACTAAAACAATATTGAGATGTCCAGCAACATAGCGTCTAATTGTAAGCTTAACCCTAGTCTGCCAAACATGTGTCATTTTTGGTTTACGGACAGAAGCACGGTGGGCCAGATCGTGTCCGTAGCGGCGCTTAATTGATAACTCCCGCTAAATCATACATATCGTTCAAAACATTGTGAATCCTACGGTAATTTGATCTCTTCTTTCCAAATTTTGTGTCAAAAAAACCAGCAAAAATGTCTAAACGTAGGTTTTGGACGTCGAAAGCTGAAGAAATTGCTTGATAAAAAAGAGGATCTTGTGCTTTTATAAAATGGGGGAAAAACAAAACCATCGAACAGAAAAATGCAATCTTATCTTCTAACCTTGTGATTCTATTGGAAGGAGAATATTTTCGCTTTTGCAGATCCCAAAGAAATTGATTTTTAGCTGCAGGGCATGAGATCAAAGTTGCCCGAAAAATAAGCCTTAAAAAATGAATTTTTCAGAATATTGTAGACTGGGAAAGTGTCATTGCGGTTCGTTGCGCGGTTCTCTTTAGTATTTTTAGAAAGCATATATCCTAGAGATACCATATACCAAAGCACAAACCGGTACAACCATATTTGTCGCATGCTTCTTTGAGGTGACCTCCAATTTCCGCGAAAATCAGATATAGAGGTTTTAAAGAACCACGGTACACAGTAAAGCGGCCCAATGAAATATTTCAACACAAATTCATGTTTCAAGGGTTTTTAAGGTTTCTAATAGGTAGTATTTCTCGCTCTTTAGATATTCTGGAAAGGATTCTATTCTGCTTCTGGATTTTATTCTGGAAGGAGGGGGAGGGAGAGGCCGACCAAAATCAGACAGTCAAAAATTTGTTATGGTCAACAATTTTCTTGAGCTCAGTAAATAATGATAATCTTTTTACATCCGTTCACACATTCAGCCCAAAGAGGACTGGTTTTAAACCAATTTGGCAATGAATATGAAAATTCTCCCATCACATGGCACCTAAGTTAAGAGTGAGTTGGCCGTTGCTGACACCAATATAACCGATGAAATTTCAACTTCACTGTTGAACTGTAATTCATGAAATCTTGCATGCTCGAGGGTGATATCTTAGAGGAGCAGGAGGAATCTATTTCGAATTCTGCTAATTCGATCAAACATTAACGTTGGTATAAAAATAACGCAATTTCAAGAACCGACTCGTACACAGCTCAGGATACCGTTACTTACCGAAAATAACACATTATTTATACAATGACAATAGCTTGTAGGAGGGGTGTAACACTAAAATAGGCATAGTTGTATTTAAAGAAGTCAATATTTAGTTATCTGAGTGACTTCAATCAAACGATATTACATTACTTTAAGTCCAAGAGTGAAATTAAAATTTCATCAGTTATATTGGTGTCAGCGACGGCCAACTCAACTCACTCTAAACTCAGGTGCCATGTGATGGTAGAATTTTCATATTCATTACCAAATTGGTTTAAAACCAGTCCTATTTGGGCTGAATGTGTGAACGGATGTAAAAAGATTATCATTAGTCTCTGGGCTAAAGAAAATTTTTGACCATAACAAATTCTTGACTGTGTGGGTTTGTCCGGCCTCCCCCTTGTAACGAGGCAAATCCCGTTTCTTCAGAGGCACATACGTCCTTCTGGGATAAGATAAGCCAACGTTACTGTAGTTGCCGGAATGAGCTCGCCGGGATCCTGGATTCGGGCGCCAATTTTAAAAATGCGTGAGTTTGAAAGAGGGGAAGAATGATCAAACTCTTGTGTCTCAAATTTACAAAAAGAATGTCCGTTTATTAGCTAAATTTGTGAGGATCCTACTCAACTCAAAATAATTTAGCCGAAATGCCACTCACTAACGTGCACCTCAAGGCTTATACGTTAGAAAATATTTTACAAATGACGATAAAATCCTGGAAATGAAATCAAAATAAAAGGGAAGCCGAAATGCAACTCACTAACGTGCACCTCTAGGCTTGCAATTGCAGGATACATGTAAGAGAAGAGGAGGTGAGGAGGAGTGAAGCTGGGCGAGATGCTACTCACTAACGTGCACCTCAGCACAGAGTAAGAGAAAAGAGGAAAGTGAAATGGACAGAGGGCTCGACGAGATGCCACTCACTAACGTGCACCTCAAGTCGAGAAAGATTTAGGAAAGATGGGAGAAGAGGTGACCCTCCGGAAAGGAGAGGGTGATGAACAATGTTTGGCTTAGAGGGCTATCAGATTGATTTGAAGCTATTGAAAGACGATCTCGACATTCGTTGCAAAATTTTTGTTACAAGAAAAATTAATTAAAATATAAAATTTACAGAAATGGATGTAGGAAAATTTCCTACAGAAGTTTATAGTAGTTTAGAATTTTTTACAATTTTCCGTTTTGGGTAAATCTACGGAAAACCCTGATTTCGCAGTTATCTTCGAGAGAGAAAAAAAAAGAGTAACAGTATTCCATTTCTTTTCATTATTCAAACAGCTGGTGTACCGTCAGCGGGCGTCGCGGCGCGGTGTCGCCAAGCCGTGACACATTTGTCGCTATTTTGGTCTACAAAAGAAGTGGAAAAACTTAAAACGAAGAATGAAATTCTTCGTTACAAATCTCCTCCTTTTCGGAGATGAGGAGACTGCTGTCTTGAAGCTTAAAATATACATTTTATGAAAGGTATACACAAAGAGTTGAGATACACTACTTTCAGCTTTTAGGGCGAAATCTCCAAGACAATTCACTAAGTTACTTCATCCTGAACAAAATTACGAAAAAGATTCTATGAGAAAAAATAGAGGAAAATTTCTGCATGATTTTACAGATTAGTTACAAAAGGAAGACACATGAAATTGACATGAATTAGCATGTTAGACTGAAAATTTACAGAGGATTAACAACGGAAACATCGGTAGAAAATGTAATGGACACAAGCAAAAATCAGGAAAATACAAAACTGGCCATTAATTCAAGTAGAAACCAACAAGAAGTTTCCCTACGGCCAAGGAAAAAAACTTGTTTTAGTTGAGCTGACCATAAATACATAAACTAGACGTGACCCTTACTGCAATAGTTTTACTGTTGGTTTTTTGTCTTTCATGTGTCTGATAATGAATCGTTCCAATTATCAAATGACTGAGAGCATCATAACGTCCCATGTAGACAACAATATCTTTGATTGAGATTTTGCGAGAATTTTCACAGCAACCAAACAATAGCTCAACTCGAAAACTTGTTTGCAGAGTCCTCAAATACGGGAGATTGGTCAAAACACCTTCTTGGCTAGTCAAATCCATGAACCTAGCAATTCATATGGTGGCCAATTCTTAATTCCACACAAAAAATCGGACTCCCAAACTACAAAACTGAGTTGAGACACTGGAAATTACAACTGGAAGAATTCT